GTGAATACATTGGAGTGAGAGAATGCAGAGAGATTTACAAGAATGATCGCAGGGATGAGAAACTTCAGTGACAAAGCAGTTGGGACTGTTCTCCTTGGAGAGAAGAAGGCTGAGAGAAACCTGATAGAGTTTTTCAAAACCATGGAACAAGGCTGGACAGAATAGAGGGGAAGGGAAAGAAATGGGATGAATGGCCTTCAGTAATTCTGAATCTATCTTTTTACTTATGGGAAGGATCGTGTCGTTCTACCAACAGTCCATTATTGCCAATTTATCACTTTACAGAATATGGGCCCTCGGAATGCATCTTCTCAGGTACGGTACACCTACAGAGTTCCATATGTAGGATTTACACCACCAATGGCCAACCACCCACTGCCCCCTCCGACTTGGGTATCTTCAGTGTTCCCATTTAAGGATGTTCACCAGCAAACATTTTAAGCAGAAGGTTTGACCATTGCACGGCCGGAAGATCCAGAGGGAAACTGAAGGAAGAGGTTCACAAAGGTTTGGGAGCAAATATTAAAAGTCAGAATGGAACACAGAGACTCCAAAAGATGTATACAAGGCCATTGCTGGAGGTATAAAGGGCTGACAGAGTGGAATCAGAATTTGGCACTTGCAATGTCTTCTGTAGTTGAACAGTTAGAGGTTGCTCGCACAGTCACACTCAGCAGGACATAAGGATTGTTGGGGGAGAGCTTGGTAATGGTGGGAAGATGGGGAGAAAATTCTCCTAGTACAGCTGGGATTGGATTCCAGGGCAGGAGAGCATCAAGGGGCTGAATGGCCTCCACCTGTGCCTGTTTGTACATGTCTTCCCCTTCAACAGCATCTTCACCCCCTCACTATCTCTGTCACCTCTTCTAGCCCCTGTACCCCTCATTATCTCTGTTACCCCCTCCAGTCCCACACCCCCTCCCTATCACTGTAAACCCCTCCAGCCCCTATACACCCTCCCTATCACTGTAACCCCCTCCAGCCCCTACACACCCTCCCTATCTCTGTAACCTCCTCCAGCCCCTACAGCCCTCACTATTTCTGCCAACTCCCCCAAACCCGTATACCCACTCCCTATCTCTGTCACCACCTCCAGCCCCTACACCGCCTCCCTATCTCTGTCACCTCCTCCAGCCTCTACACCCCCTCCCTATCTCTGTAACCCCCTCCAGCCCCTACACCCCTCCTTATCTCTGTAACCTCCTCCAGCCCCTACACTCCCTCCCTATCTTGGTCACCTCCTCCAACCCTCCCTGTCTCTGTCACCTCCACCAGCCTCTACACCCCCTCCCTATCTCTGTAACCCCCTCCCACCCCCTACCCCCCTCCCTATCTCTGTCACCTCCTCCAGCCCCAACAACACCTCCCTATCTCTGTAACCTCCTCCAGTGCCTACCTCCCCTCCCTTTCTCTGTCACCTCCTTCAGCCCCCTCCCTATCTCTGTAACCCCTCCAGCCCCCTACACCCCTCCCTATCTCGGTCACCCCCTCCAACCCCTACACTCCTTCCCTATCTCTGTAACCTCCTCCATCCCATCCACTCCCTCCCTATCTCTGTAATTCTCTCCAGCCCCCACAACCCCTCCCTATCTGTGTAATTCCCTCCAGCCCCCACACTTTCTCCCTATCTCTGTCACCTCCTCAAGCCCCTACACCCCTTCCCTATCTCTGTCACCTCCTCCAGCCCCTACACCCCCTCCCTATCTCTGTAACCTCCTCCAGCCCCTACACCCCCTCCCTATCTCTGTAACCCCCTCCAGCCC